CATACAATGCTGTAATATAAAAATAAAAAAAAAAAAAGAAGAGAAACATTTTAACGTGTAACTTACCACAATAAGAGCAAGAAAAAGGGATGTGTGAGTGTATGTGCGTGTGTGTGTGTGCGTGTGTGTGTGTGTGTGTGTGTGTGTGTGTATGTGTGTGTGTGTGTGTGTGTGTTGTCTGTGTGTGTGTGTGTGTGTGTGTTGTCTGTGTGTGTGTGTGTGTGTTGTCTGTGTGTGTGTGTGAGTGTTTTAATTGGAAAATTGGAATGGTCTAAGAAGGCAAGTGTTAGACGTTAATATTAATTTAAGTTTTTATTGTGTCTCTTGATCATTCAAATCATCGTTTGTACCGAAAGGGATTGCCGTCGATTTCGAAATTAGGATTTTAGACGCTTATTCAATCCAAACTCGCTGGGCTGTATTGTATTGAAAAAAGAAACATGAAATTAGAAGAAGACTTAACCACAATAGAATTCTTTTTTACTATTCGTCACAAACCTATTAACATCCCTACTGATGGGACTCAGGCCTTCCCTTTGGATGAAATCGACACAATTCGAATAGGGAAAATGGGCCATGATCCACCATATGGGTATTAACAATTGCAATGCAGCCGGGACCGTGCAGAACGTGCCTTCCAAAGCACAAGAGCTCGAGATAGTAAGCTTTTGGTTCACCATCCTACGACCAGCCATTGCGAAAATTGCTTAGCATCCGTATCGTAGACCGAGTATGCTAACCGCTGTGCCATCGAGCTCCTCAACAATACGTTATGACTAAAATTTAAATAAAAAAAGGTTGGTTTAAATAAAACTTGCCTCAAACTCTGTCAATAAGTCGACGTCCAAGCTAGATGTCTGGTGTGGCACCAGCGATAAGTAACGAAAGCCCAGTGCTCCTGCCCCGGAGAAATTACCAACTAGACCTTTAGCCTGGAAAATAATTAAAGACTCTCAAGATGGGGCATAAACTCAAACAACTGTAACAATCTCAGTGCATCCGACTTGTGATAGCTAAAACAGCAGAGGATAATGAAATGTGCGTCAAAATCGTTTATAACTAAGACTCCGCTGTTTATTCGTCTGTCCTTCTGTCTTTTTGTTTTCCGTCTTTCCGTCTTTCCGTCTTTCCGTCTTTCCGTCTTTCCGTCATTCCGTCTTTCCGTCTTTCCGTCTTTCCGTCTTTCCGTCTTTCCGTCTTTCCGTCTTTCCGTCTTTCCGTCTTTCCGTCTTTCCGTCTTTCCGTCTTTCCGTCTTTCCGTCTTTCCGTCTTTCCGTCTTTCCGTCTTTCCGTCTTTCCGTCTTTGCGTCTTTGCGTCTTTCCGTCTTTCCGTCTTTCCGTCTTTCCGTCTTTCCGTCTTTCCGTCTTTCCGTCTTTCCGTCTTTCCGTCTTTCCGTCTTTCCGTCTTTCCGTCTTTCCGTCTTTCCGTCTTTCCGTCTTTCCGTCTTTCCGTCTTTCCGTCTTTCCGTCTTTCCGTCTTTCCGTCTTTCCGTCTTTCCGTCTTTCCGTCTTTCCGTCTTTCCGTCTTTCCGTCTTTCCGTCTTTCCGTCTTTCCGTCTTTCCGTCTTTCCGTCTTTCCGTCTTTCCGTCTTTCCGTCTTTCCGTCTTTCCGTCTTTCCGTCTTTCCGTCTTTCCGTCTTTCCGTCTTTCCGTCTTTCCGTCTTTCCGTCTTTCCGTCTTTCCGTCTTTCCGTCTTTCCGTCTTTCCGTCTTTCCGTCTTTCCGTCTTTCCGTCTTTCCGTCTTTCCGTCTTTCCGTCTTTCCGTCTTTCCGTCTTTCCGTCTTTCCGTCTTTCCGTCTTTCCGTCTTTCCGTCTTTCCGTCTTTCCGTCTTTCCGTCTTTCCGTCTTTCCGTCTTTCCGTCTTTCCGTCTTTCCGTCTTTCCGTCTTTCCGTCTTTCCGTCTTTCCGTCTTTCCGTCTTTGCGTCTTTCCGTCTTTCCGTCTTTCCGTCTTTCCGTCTTTCCGTCTTTCCGTCTTTCCGTCTTTCCGTCTTTCCGTCTTTCCGTCTTTCCGTCTTTCCGTCTTTCCGTCTTTCCGTCTTTGCGTCTTTCCGTCTTTCCGTCTTTGCGTCTTTCCGTCTTTCCGTCTTTCCGTCTTTCCGTCTTTCCGTCTTTCCGTCTTTCCGTCTTTCCGTCTTTCCGTCTTTCCGTCTTTCCGTCTTTCCGTCTTTCCGTCTTTCCGTCTTTCCGTCTTTCCGTCTTTCCGTCTTTCCGTCTTTCCGTCTTTCCGTCTTTCCGTCTTTCCGTCTTTCCGTCTTTCCGTCTTTCCGTCTTTCCGTCTTTCCGTCTTTCCGTCTTTCCGTCTTTCCGTCTTTCCGTCTTTCCGTCTTTCCGTCTTTCCGTCTTTCCGTCTTTCCGTCTTTCCGTCTTTCCGTCTTTCCGTCTTTCCGTCTTTCCGTCTTTCCGTCTTTCCGTCTTTCCGTCTTTCCGTCTTTCCGTCTTTCCGTCTTTCCGTCTTTCCGTCTTTCCGTCTTTCCGTCTTTCCGTCTTTCCGTCTTTCCGTCTTTCCGTCTTTCCGTCTTTCCGTCTTTCCGTCTTTGCGTCTTTCCGTCTTTCCGTCTTTGCGTCTTTCCGTCTTTCCGTCTTTCCGTCTTTCCGTCTTTCCGTCTTTCCGTCTTTCCGTCTTTCCGTCTTTCCGTCTTTCCGTCTTTCCGTCTTTCCGTCTTTCCGTCTTTCCGTCTTTCCGTCTTTCCGTCTTTCCGTCTTTCCGTCTTTCCGTCTTTCCGTCTTTCCGTCTTTCCGTCTTTCCGTCTTTCCGTCTTTCCGTCTTTCCGTCTTTCCGTCTTTCCGTCTTTCCGTCTTTCCGTCTTTCCGTCTTTCCGTCTTTCCGTCTTTCCGTCTTTCCGTCTTTCCGTCTTTCCGTCTTTCCGTCTTTCCGTCTTTCCGTCTTTCCGTCTTTCCGTCTTTCCGTCTTTCCGTCTTTCCGTCTTTCCGTCTTTCCGTCTTTCCGTCTTTCCGTCTTTCCGTCTTTCCGTCTTTCCGTCTTTCCGTCTTTCCGTCTTTCCGTCTTTCCGTCTTTCCGTCTTTCCGTCTTTCCGTCTTTCCGTCTTTCCGTCTTTCCGTCTTTCCGTCTTTCCGTCTTTCCGTCTTTCCGTCTTTCCGTCTTTCCGTCTTTCCGTCTTTCCGTCTTTCCGTCTTTCCGTCTTTCCGTCTTTCCGTCTTTCCGTCTTTCCGTCTTTCCGTCTTTCCGTCTTTCCGTCTTTCCGTCTTTCCGTCTTTCCGTCTTTCCGTCTTTCCGTCTTTCCGTCTTTCCGTCTTTCCGTCTTTCCGTCTTTCCGTCTTTCCGTCTTTCCGTCTTTCCGTCTTTCCGTCTTTCCGTCTTTCCGTCTTTGCGTCTTTCCGTCTTTCCGTCTTTCCGTCTTTCCGTCTTTCCGTCTTTCCGTCTTTCCGTCTTTCCGTCTTTCCGTCTTTCCGTCTTTCCGTCTTTCCGTCTTTCCGTCTTTCCGTCTTTCCGTCTTTCCGTCTTTCCGTCTTTCCGTCTTTCCGTCTTTCCGTCTTTCCGTCTTTCCGTCTTTCCGTCTTTCCGTCTTTCCGTCTTTCCGTCTTTCCGTCTTTCCGTCTTTCCGTCTTTCCGTCTTTCCGTCTTTCCGTCTTTCCGTCTTTCCGTCTTTCCGTCTTTCCGTCTTTCCGTCTTTCCGTCTTTCCGTCTTTCCGTCTTTCCGTCTTTCCGTCTTTCCGTCTTTCCGTCTTTCCGTCTTTCCGTCTTTCCGTCTTTCCGTCTTTCCGTCTTTCCGTCTTTCCGTCTTTCCGTCTTTCCGTCTTTCGTCTTTCCGTCTTTCCGTCTTTCCGTCTTTCCGTCTTTCCGTCTTTCCGTCTTTCCGTCTTTCCGTCTTTCCGTCTTTCCGTCTTTCCGTCTTTCCGTCTTTCCGTCTTTCCGTCTTTCCGTCTTTGCGTCTTTCCGTCTTTCCGTCTTTGCGTCTTTCCGTCTTTCCGTCTTTCCGTCTTTCCGTCTTTCCGTCTTTCCGTCTTTCCGTCTTTCCGTCTTTCCGTCTTTCCGTCTTTCCGTCTTTCCGTCTTTCCGTCTTTCCGTCTTTCCGTCTTTCCGTCTTTCCGTCTTTCCGTCTTTCCGTCTTTCCGTCTTTCCGTCTTTCCGTCTTTCCGTCTTTCCGTCTTTGCGTCTTTGCGTCTTTGCGTCTTTGCGTCTTTCCGTCTTTCCGTCTTTCCGTCTTTCCGTCTTTCCGTCTTTGCGTCTTTGCGTCTTTGCGTCTTTGCGTCTTTGCGTCTTTCCGTCTTTCCGTCTTTCCGTCCTTCCGTCCTTCCGTCCTTCCGTCCTTCCGTCCTTCCGTCCTTCCGTCCTTCCGTCCTTCCGTCCTTCCGTCCTTCCGTCCTTCCGTCCTTCCGTCCTTCCGTCCTTCCGTCCTTCCGTCCTTCCGTCCTTCCGTCCTTCCGTCCTTCCGTCCTTCCGTCCTTCCGTCCTTCCGTCCTTCCGTCCTTCCGTCCTTCCGTCCTTCCGTCCTTCCGTCCTTCCGTCCTTCCGTCCTTCCGTCCTTCCGTCCTTCCGTCCTTCCGTCCTTCCGTCCTTCCGTCCTTCCGTCCTTCCGTCCTTCCGTCCTTCCGTCCTTCCGTCCTTCCGTCCTTCCGTCCTTCCGTCCTTCCGTCCTTCCGTCCTTCCGTCCTTCCGTCCTTCCGTCCTTCCGTCCTGATGTCATTCTGTCCTGTCTTCTGTCATCAGTCTGTCATCTGGCTGTATCTCAGAAACCATAATAGTGAGATGGTAGAAATCTTTAAAGATAAATAGCATTTCTGTTGCTGCTACGATTATAATAACAAATACTAAAAACAGAATGAATTAATTATACAAGTGTGGCTTCCATACAACTAACGTAATTATATTGCGTTTATAGATAACAGTACAGAACCCTTCGTGTGCGAGTCCGAGGCACACTGGCCAGTTTTTAATTATTGTAATAGGGTTGCACAATTCCCTCAGCAATAAAATGGCTCACATACTTATCAATTCTCCCGACAAAGTGTAATTACAACAAAAAATGTATGATGGAAAACTAAATTTATTAAGGATAACGTCGTGATTTTTTTTTTAATACAATTGACATAATGGCAGCTTATTTGGACGTTATTTCTTTGGACAAAAACTATTGTAAGTGATTTTTTATGTACGCGCTTCTATGGTTCATTTCTTACCAGAATATGATCGGAGTCATTGTTCAACTCTATGACTTCCACCAAATCCTCATGCCTGATGCCGTACTGACCCACTTCGTAATAACCAGGTTCTAAAAACAAAATCTTTACATAAACTCATTCCGTCAGTAAACACTATAAATATTAAACATAAATATAAAGCCAGAGGTTATCAGACGCGCACAAAGCATACATGTTTCTAAATTAAATAATACTATCTATCACTCATCTTAAATCCTTAATCTTCTATATTTTTGTAGGTATATGTTATATTATATTGTATGTATAGTATCATCATCATCATCACTTTAGCCGAGAGACGCCCACTGCTGGGCATAGGCCTCCCCCAAAGATTTCCAAAGCAATCGGTCCTGCGCCACCCGCATCCAGCGGCTTCCCGCGACCTTTACCATATCGTCGGTCCACCTTGTGGGGGGCCTACCAACACTGCGTCTCCCGGTACGCGGTCGCCACTTCAGGACCTTACCGCCCCAACGGCCGTCAGTCCTGCGAGCGATGTGCCCTGCCCACTGCCACTTGAGGTTCGCAATTCTTTGGGCTATGTCGGTGACTTTCGTTCTTCTGCGGATCTCATCGTTTCTGATTCGATCTCGCAAAGAAACCCCGAGCATAGCCCTTTCCATTGCCCTCTGGGCAACTTTGAGCTTCCTTATGAGGCCCATCGTAAGCGGCCACGTCTCAGTACCGTATGTCAACACTGGCAACACGCACGAATTAAAGACTTTCGTCTTGAGACACTGCGGTAGATTTTCCGAGAATACACTGCGTAGCTTCCCGAACGCTGCCCAGCCGAGTTGGATCCGTCGATTTACATCTCTCTGGAAGTTGGACTTACCTAATCGGACTATTTGTCCCAGGTAAACGTACTCGTCGACAGCTTCCAGTGTAGAGCCTCCAACATTCACTGGAGTGGGTACGACATGGGAGTTTGACATTATTTTTGTCTTCTCCATGTTCATTTTAAGACCCACTTGCTGGGAAACTCTACAGAGGTCTTCGAGCATTGTGCCTAGATCTTCCATGGTCTCAGCCATGACTACGATATCATCAGCGAAACGAAGGTGCGTCATGTACTCGCCGTTTATATTGAAGCCAAGTCCTCTCCAGTCCAAAAGCTTAAACACGTCCTCCAGTGCGGCAGTGAACAGTTTCGGCGATATAACGTCGCCCTGTTTCACTCCACGCTGAAGTCGTATTGCTTTCGAGTTTTGGTCCTGGAGCCGAACTGTCATGGTGGCGTTTTCATACAGTGATTGCAGCACTTGGATGTATCGATAGTCTATTTGGCACCTCTGGAGTGACCTAAGCACGGCCCAGGTCTCGACGGAGTCGAAGGCTTTCTCATAGTCCACAAACGCCAAGCACAGTGGCAGATTATACTCCTCGGTCTTCTGTATAACCTGTCGCAGCGTATGAATGTGGTCTATGGTACTGTAACCTTTTCGGAAACCGGCTTGTTCAGGAGGCTGGAAGTCGTCAAATCTACGTGCGAGACGATTCGTGATGACTCTCGAAAACAGCTTGTACACATGACTCAGAAGCGTGATGGGTCTGTAATTCTTCAATTGGGTCCTGTCGCCCTTTTTGAAGAAAAGCACCACCACACCCCTGTGCCATGCTTCCGGCGTCTTGCTCTCGAGTATGGCGGAATTAAATAGCTTCTGAAGCGCTTTCCGCACTGGTAGTCCACCCGCTTTCAGAAGTTCCGCTGTGATTCCATCATGCCCTGGCGCCTTGTTGTTCTTGAGCTGTTTGAGAGCCACACTAATCTCGTATAGACTGACGTCCGGGATGTCTTCGGTATAATGTCGGGTTAATTTGGCTCTAGGGTCTGTAGCCTCAATGACAGGTTTCTGTGATGTTGTGTATAACTGTCCATAGAAGCGTTCGATCTCCGCCACAAGCTCAGGACGGGATGTAACAACTCTGCCGTCCTCTGTCTTTAGCTTCGTCAGCAAGCTTTGTCCGAGAGACAGATCTCTAGCGAACACTTTGGAGCCTTTATTCCGCTCAATCGCCTCCTTAATACATTGAGTATTAAATTGGCGTATGTCGCGTGTGAGAGACTTTGAGATCTGTCTATTGAGTTGCCGACGAGCATCCTCAGAAGACTGCAGAACCATTTCACGCCTTTCTTCCATTAGCTTGCTTGTCTGCTCCGAGATCTTGCTTCTTTTTTGAGTACGGCGAGGTCTGAGAAATTTTGAACCCACCTTAAGGACAGCTTCTACGACCCTGTCATTGTATTCGTCCACATTCGAGCAGCTCTCCAGGCAATCGAAGCGGTTTTGAAGTTCGAGCTGAAAATGTTCGGGGTCCCGGATCTGGGTGGCTTCAGGACGGAGTGTAGACTTCACCAGTCGATACCGTTCAGCTTTTACATTTAGATTCAATGCGCCTCTTACCATACGGTGATCGCTTCCCGTATTAAACGAATTGATCACTGAGACGTCATTAAATATCCGAGTCTTAGTCGACATGATGAAGTCGATCTCGCTTTTTGTCACACCATCCGGACTCTTCCAGGTCCACTTTCGATGCAACCGTTTTTTGAAGAAGGAGTTCATCATATAGAGTCCTTCCCTCTCCATGTAGTCGGCTAGCATTTGACCACGGTGATTCCGGATCCCAGATCCAAATTGCCTCACCTTCAACTCCTCATCGCCACGCTTGCCTAGCCTTGCGTTGAAGTCGTGCGTGCGTTGTAGGTTGCCAGGGCCAAGGTCGTTTGACGGGGGATCTTTGCCGCCCCGGGATTCTTCGCACCCCTGGTGCCTTCGCCGAGTAGGCGTCCGTCCGCGCCAGCACGGCTTACGGCACCGCCGGGCACTCGGGGCCTTTCGTTTGGGTCTATTTTCTGATCTTTGAAGGGTTTTGGGCCATCTCCCACCACGCTGGCCCAATGCGGGTTGGTGGGGAGCGCCAGAGCCTCGTTGGTTAGTCGGCAGGGTGTACCGCGTGCAGGTGAGGTTGGCTTGGGATCCGTTAGATGTTGTTCGGATCCCCTTACACCCCATGTATAGTATATGTATGTATAATTTATTATTTATGTGGTATTTATTATTTAATTAATTTATTAAATATATGTATATTTTTACTTTACTCAAGTTACCAGACACCATAAGCTACCCAAAGGAGAATGGGCAAATGTGGTTTCGCTTTGTGACGATATCAAACCTCTTTTAAAAAATAAGTTTTTAATTTTACCTAAATACCTTAAAATATGCAGCCCTAACTTCGACGGAGTATAAGGTGTTTAAATAAAGGAAGGTAACTGATTTTACTACTTCTCTAAAATATCAACCATTTTTAATTCTTTTTTTTTAATGTTGCCAGTATACAAAATCTACATCAATTATATAAATCGATATTGTATTTGACTAGGCAATGTATGCCTTAGTCGGCAGGGTGTACCGCAAGAGAGCAAGAGCCCTGAAACATGAAAGACAAAAAATATTTAAAAAATGATTTTAATGATTTAATCGAATCAAGTCGATTAAAAATAGTCGATTTATAACATTTTTAGAATGGCAATAATGACATGCATGACCCGCTAAATGAAAGGCATACATTGATACAATTGACAGCTGTCACTACAGTATTGCCTTTCGTTCTGTTAAGTTCGTTTGTTGAATGTTTTAGTGATTTTCTTCTTTCTTTAAGTTTTACGTCGAGTGAATTTCGAGTTCCCCGTAACTATAGAAACTGAACATATTCGAGACAGAGACTCTTTTTTTCGTGTGTGAATTGTGTTTGTTTACCAAACTGATTCGACATACTTTAATGAACTTCAGCAGCTTATTTCTCATGAATCCGTCGAATTAGAGTAATTATTTTTTTTGTAATTGAATCTAAGGCCAAAACCCTACAAATTGATGTAGGTTTCATCATGGCACACAAAAAAAAATTTGAAACGAAACTCCATATATCATTGCCCATTCTCCTTTAAATTCTTTTTTTCCTGCACCAAAAGGTTGCCTGGAAGTAATTACTTTTTAGTAACAAGGCCGGCATCGCATTGTTTTTGTCTTGTATTGGTGTACAATAAAACATATTCATAAAACAAACATCACATACATTGATCAAATTCCAAGATGATTAGCTAAAGCCCCTTTATTATAGAGTATCTAAGACAACGAATGTACCATAACACCCAGACACGAGACAATATATAAAAGTTCATTTTCTACATTGACCCTGCCGAGAATCGAACAATATTACGTAAACATTGACGGAAACGTAAATAATAGTAAACTATCTCCTTATTATATAGCACGATCAGATTAATACGCAGTACTCCGCCGAAACGATACAAGCGATACGATACGACATGTATCGTCAGAAGATAAACAACGATACTTAATTTTTAACTACCCGTGAACTAACCGTTGCTGAATATCATGCCTGGCACTATCCCAGGGTCTGTGGCGAGGGGCCCGCTGAGTATACCCGAAGGACCCTCGTGGACATTCAGGAAGTGTCCCACGCCGTGTCCCGTCCCGTGGGCGTAATTCAATCCGACGTCCCACAACGCTTTGCGAGCGAAAGACTCTAAAGTATGACCCTGGAATATTAAGAGCCATAATTCCATTTATTTCTAGACTAAAATTTGTCAATTAGGCTCAGCAGTTCTCGAGTTTTGGCGAGACTAACGAACGGAAATTCATTTTTATTTATATAGAAGATATCACCGGCGTACTGTTACGGGGGCAGTCAGGAATGGCTTTTCTTTAAAAAACACTTATTTTATTTAACACTCCGTTTATTTATATGAACAACACGATTCATCACACCATTTTTAGAACGATATGTTGTCCGACGGGAGTCCAATCCAAAACTGATTTTATTAAATATTATAATTGCGTTCGAGACTCGGTTTCCTATAGGAAACGTCTATGTTGCGTTTTTCATTTTAATAGGAACTGATAGAAATCGTATTATAACAGTATGATGTAGTTTCTTGTAGGTGAAAGTCAGTGGCGTAGCTAGGTAACCTAGGGCCCTGGGGCAAATAAAAAAATGGGGCCCACTGCTATCAAAACTGGTAAGGTTTTTTGAAGTAAAATCATTAAATATACAAATACTTTAAAAATGATAAGTAACTTTATCATCAGCTCTTTTTCGTGCATAGGCAGGTAATAAAACTATTAAACACTAACAACATAAATAACAAACATTTTTATACTTGGTGTATGGACCAGTACAAAAAAATTATTGTCCTACGCTACGCTCCTGATACATTAACTTTTCAACCATTCTCGAAAAAAAATCTTGACTCGAAGTTCACAATCGCGAATCACATAAACGCATATCGATAAATAATAATATACAGATATTGATATCCGACAAATTGATGAAAACATTAATAACACTGTCAACCCACACAAATAATTTAGGGGAATTCCCTTTTTATAGCTTTGGAATTTCTCACAATTGAGTTGCCATGATTAAACTCGAGTTATCACCTTTCATATTTATTTTGAAAATGGGAGAAATTTTGAAAAGTTGAGTTCGATTGAGGTTTTCTGGTAAAGATTCGAGGGCCCCCTGAGCTTGAGGGCCCCGGGGCACTGCCCCTCCTAGCCCCTTCGTAGCTACGCCACTGGTGAAAGTATTACCATGATCGCATCAGTATTCCCGATAATTACCCTCAACTAATAATGATATAAACTATATCACTTAAAGTCTAGACTAAACTATACTAATAAAATAAATATCGATTCATAAATCAACGGGAGACCTTGTACTGAGAAGAACCGGCAAGAAACTCTGCAAAAACTGTATTTTTCTCCCTGTTTTATTTAATCAAAATCAAAAAATCAAAATCAAAATCAAAATCATTTATTCAGTCTAGGCTGTTACAAGCACTTGTGAAAGTCGAGAGCTACGCCAAAAATAGCGAGAAATCCATCCAATACAATAATACAGAGAAATCCAATTGAAAAATTACTTCTTTAGACTATGAAATCATTAAAATGAGGTTCTTGAACCAAAAAAAATATGGAAACGCTGATTTAAACTAAAAATGAGGAAGTATTTAAAAAAAAATACATTAATTCCCGAAATCAAACTAGATGTCGCTACGGTACGTTCTTGATTTCTCCATGACAACTTTTCCGGTTTTCTTTCAAGTTTAAAAGTAAATTAGTTTTCAAAACTCAATAAACAACTCATATTCTATTTGTACTTTTTCGTATTTGTATTGATATCTAAGTTACGAACTTATCAAATTTCAGTTTTTTAATATGTTAGTTAAAAGGAACGGAAATGACTGTCTTTGGTCCATTCGTTTCCTGCAAAAATCAACTTTTGCTAGAGTCGCCATTCGCTGCTTTTTTTGGTGCTTTCGTTTTTTTTAATACTTCCTCATTAAGCAAACTGACGTTAAATAAGATGGTGATTTATATAGTCAGAATAAAAAATCACCACAAATTTGAACCATGAATAATTTCCTCGGGAAATATCACCATAAATAGCCTATTATATCTCTGGTGGGGCTCAAGCCCTACGAATAGAAGTGAATCGAATTAAAATCGGCCATGACCCACTACGCGGGCCCAGCGCGGATTGGTGGCTGTTAACGACTGCAGATGCAGCCGGGACCAACGTCTTAACACGCCTTCAGAAGCACGGAGGTGATCTTCGAGAATAGCTTAGATATATTACTGACTACAGTGCCCTTGGGGAAGACAGCGGTCCCGAGCATGATCTGTCCCTTCAGCACTCGTGTGAAGGCAGCCCGCCGCGCAGGAGGGGGCGCCCCACCTAACTGGCGGCTGCGCGTGATGTCTGTTGTGCCATCCCTAGACATATTATTAGCACCACTATTATAAATCACCAACACCACACCACATAGATATTTTTTTTTATTATTATCGATGGGTTCTACGTATAATGGCGTAAGCAGGGCTTGGAAACCGGTTTATTTTTTGAACCGGTTCGACGTCATTACATGCGGAACTTTACATAAAAGGCCTGACTCCTTTGAACAGGTTTTTAAACCGATTCACTGGTAATACGGTTTTCTTCATTAATCGGTTTAAATATGACTCCAGACAATGATCTCACAAACTTCAGCACGGTGCCTACACTCCTATCTATAACATCCGTACACAGATATGATAAATGTCGTCGCTTAAAAATGATATTATTCGCATTAAAAGCGTAAGAACATTGCTTTTTACGAACCAAGCGAATTAACCGGTTTTTATTCCATCCGAATTTCACTCCGCATTTAGTTCCGATCCGGAACGGAACATTATAAAAGAACAGGTTTTACCATAATAAAAACGGTTTATTCTGAACCGGTTTCAAGCCCTGGGCGTAAGTGCCACTTAGGGCTTTTAACAATAATATGTGCAATGTTCCTATTTTATCACATAAATTAATAAAATATCCAATTTTTTTTTGCAATATAAATAAGTATATTCATTAGATCGTATTTTTATTTGGTATTAAACTCATTGTTATGAGTATTTACCTAAATATATGTATAAATAGTTCATCGAATATAGACGAACGTACTAAAAATTATAAATAAATTGTTATAATTAAATTTTTAAAGTTATTTCTATTTACGATATACAATAAATACACATGTCTAGTATAAGAGCGAAAAATTGTTTCTGCCTTTTTACGTTGCGCGGATATATATAAAATATAGATAAGGTCATTGTAAAAAGGCAAAACTGCAAATTCTCACAAAAAATGCTAATTAATTCAAATTATTTTCATGAAAACAAACGCAGTCCTATTAAAAAAACAATATACAAAATTTCATACAATTATTTAAAGTATTTTAAAAGTTATAGCTAAAAATGTATTAAAAAAATCTTAAAAGTGCTCTCCTGTACTCCTTGATTTGATTTACGTAGGACCCATCGTTATATAAAATATATCAATATCACTAAAAAGCATCAGCAACATATTATTATTGTTGTAATCCAGTAACAATAAATGTGTTATAACCAGAGGTCGGAATTAGGTAGAGTTATTTATGTACTTGCATCGAAATGTTGATATTAATGTGGACCTTCCCGGGGTTTCTAATGGACAATCCCGTGTGGCCAACAATCTTACAGCTAAATAATAACAACAACGTCAGAGATAGACAAATAAAACAAAGATAATTAATATAATTTTTTTATTAGTTTACATTAATTTACAATACAAATTATTGATAGTCTTAAGCAAATTCTCATACGCATATTTCGCCTTTTTTATAAATACGAGCGAATACTTTTGCTACTAGCCTAGACTCATAAAAAAAAAAAATTCATCTCGGGATTTGAGGCATATCCACTTTATTCTTTCGCTGTATGAAATCAGTGTAAGTACATGAATAACTCTACCTAATCCGACCACTGGTTATAATGGATTGTAGTTGAAGCACTATAGCTAATATTAGTTAGTCTATCCGTCGGGTTGAATAATAAAAAATATTAAGCACGTATTTTGTTCTGTGTAATCAATGAGGAAGAATTTAAAAAAAGCACTAAAAAAGCACCTCCACTAGATGGCGACTCTAGCAAAAGATTTCCGTTCCTTTTAACTAACATATTAAAAAACTGAAATTTGAAAAGTTCTAAACTTAGATATCAATACAAATACGAAAAAGTACAAATAGAATATGAGTTGTTAATTGAGTTTTGAAAACTAATTTACTTTTAAACTTGAAACAAAACCGGAAAGGTTTTAATGGAAAAATCAAGAACAGTAGCGACATCTAGTTTGATTTCGGGAACTAATGTTTTTTTAAATACTTCCTTATAGTAATTAGTTGTGACGTATCTACCCCCACTCTTCAACTTGAATGCCTATAATCCAAGTCATTTCTTGTTAAACTGAAGTCAATAAAAATACATATCTAATATTTTTCTATTATCCGACGGACTATATATATTATAACCAGGATTCATCCCTATTGTCTTTTGTTTAAGTTTGACTCACTTGTACTGGCCCCCTGAATCGACTAATAACATATCATTTTGGCCGATAACTCTAGAACCTTCACGTGGTGGACTGTAATGTATGATGGCTCCGTTCTCTCCTGCACCGGCTATAGTTGAGAACGATGGACCATGAGAGTGTTCTTCCTCCCTGTGAGTAATAACGATATTAATTATAATATTATCTTTATTGCACATGATACAGACAAGAGACAACAAGAAATTACACATATTGGTATATTACGCTCACCCATACTAATATTATAAAGAGCAAAGATAATTCATTGTTTATTTGTGTGAAATAGGCTCCCAAAATTACTAGACCGAAATTTTATATATTGTTTTTGCCCACATTATCAATAGCTAGAAAAACCCCTTTTTTTTGACGTTGAAAAATACGTTACGCATACCCGCTTCACCCTGCGCGAGCTCCACGGGTTATGTGGGACTCTCCCCTGCGGACCAACCCCAATGAGAGCTGGTCAAAGAGCAGGGGTATACACACTAAAACTCAGCGATGTCCCTCACGCGCAAATACAGCACGACATGGGTCCAATACGGGACCATATTCACGCACTTATCCACGCACGACCCACCCCTTTAACAGGAGCGGATCGTCTCGGGTTAGGGGAAGGGCTCAGGAACATTCGAGTCCAACCCCCCAGACAGGACAGGGGACGTTCAATGCCCAGCAAGCGCGCTAACCCGCCAGACTGCCCCACGTCAAAGGTAAGAGATACGTGATTGAGTATCTTCCATCCTAACCCGTCTAGAACAACCCCTGCTACAATAGAACCTGACCTTTACTTTATTTATAATCGGCTCACTCTTGACCTCAATCTAACCTAAGGCCATAGATAACATCTACGGTGGGACTAGCTTGCCCAAAAGAATCTTGCGTAAATATACTCAGGAATATTTACGCCGGCAGGAAGTTCCACTCCTTGGTAGTACACAGTAAAAAGGTGAAAAGCTCTTTGTGCGGCATCTTGGAATATCTACCAAATGAGGATGGTATTCCGCCGTGCCTCTAGATTGCTAATGGTAATACGTTAAAGGCGGAATGAGCTCAGCTGACCTTCGAAAATCCGCGAGTTTATCAGACAGATCTATTTCTGTAACAACAGCACCGGATGCCACTTGTTCCTCCACCCAGCGTAGACCTCTCACTACGGCTATACCATCCTTCACGTGGGCAGAACGGAATCCCTGACGAACAAAGTCAAAGTCAAAATAATCTTTATTCAAACAGACTTCTTAAAAGTACTTTTGAATCTTCCAACGTTTTTTCCCTACCACTCGTTCAGGACGTCGTTTAGCTGATAAGAAGAACGAGCTCTAATAGGAGTAATGACATTCACAAAAACCATGTCATTACCAGATCAATACATTATAAATAGAGAAAAAAAAACTATGGTCGTTGATAACATAATAATTTAATAATAACAAACTGAGTAGCTCGGTGGCGTAGTGGATAAGCGCCGCGGCCCGCGATCGTAGCCGTTAAGCAACTTTCGCTAGGGTCGGTCACGGGATGGGTGACCAAAAAATTATTATCTCGAGCTACTCCGTGCTTCAGAAGGCACGTTAAGCCGTTGGTCCCGGCTGCATTTGTAGTCGTTAATAGCCTCCAATCCGCATGGGGCCAGCGTGGAGGATCATGGCCCATCCTCCTTAACCATCCATAAGGAAGGCCTGAGCCCCTGCAGTAGGGACATAAAAGGGCTGGTGATGATGTGATGTGATGACGAACAAATCCATAGTAACGTTGCAAATCGTAGTAATCTTCAAACCAGTAATCAAGCCAATCTAATGAAATAGAAAATTTCTAATTTTCTATTATCGTCATCGTCATCGTCATCGTCATCGTCATCGTCATCGTCATCGTCATCGTCATCGTCATCGTCATCGTCATCGTCATCGTCATCGTCATCGTCATCGTCATCGTCATCGTCATCGTCATCGTCATCGTCATCGTCATCGTCATCGTCATCGTCATCGTCATCGTCATCGTCATCGTCATCGTCATCGTCATCGTCATCGTCATCGTCATCGTCATCGTCATCGTCATCGTCATCGTCATCGTCATCGTCATCGTCATCGTCATCGTCATCGTCATCGTCATCGTCATCGTCATCGTCATCGTCATCGTCATCGTCATCGTCATCGTCATCGTCATCGTCATCGTCATCGTCATCGTCATCGTCATCGTCATCGTCATCGTCATCGTCATCGTCATCGTCATCGTCATCGTCATCGTCATCGTCATCGTCATCGTCATCGTCATCGTCATCGTCATCGTCATCGTCATCGTCATCGTCATCGTCATCGTCATCGTCATCGTCATCGTCATCGTCATCGTCATCGTCATCGTCATCGTCATCGTCATCGTCATCGTCATCGTCATCGTCATCGTCATCGTCATCGTCATTGTCATCATCATCACCAGCCTTCATCACCAGCCTATCAATATCCCCACTGCTGAGACCCTCCCGATGGTGCGTATTAAAGAATGCAGGTGCATGTTTAACAGCTTAACGTGCCTTCCGAAGCACGACCGAGTTCAAGTTAACAAATTTTTGGTCACCGATCCAGCCATTGCGAAATTTACTTTTTAACACCTTTGCTCGTAAAGCTGATGTAATTCCACCAGTTTTAAACAACAAACGAATAGTAAAGTTATAGTCCATACAAATTCCATAACAGTATTATTTCCCATTTCGCACGCTGTTGCTATTCAAATTTCGAACTAATCGCCGCGCGGCGCCAGTCAGTAGGCAGCACTAGCGCGCTGTTAAAATGGCGGGAAAGCAACAGTGTACATTCACAAATTGAGTTTATTTAATGTTTTTTTTTTTTGTTTCCTCGCAAATGTGTTAAAAAACGTCGTACGATATACGTGCGTATTGGTTATACGAGGGTCAAACTAAAAGTTCTTAGAATTGGCCACTTATAAACAATATAATAAAAAAATAATTCTAAAATTTGAAAATATAACTCTTTGCCAATATTACTGAGTATATATTTCATTCATTTGTCATTTGTTTTACGATTTGGCGGCAAATTGAAAATTGTCTGTGTCACGTCATCATGAATTTAACACGAGAAAATTTTCGTGCAATGATTTTTTATGACTTTCGATGTCATTTAAGTCAACAAGAAAGTTATGATAGACTACGATTGGCCTTTCACGATGAAGCCCCATCTCGTGCGACTGTTTACAACTGGTTTAATGAGTTTAAACGTGGTCGCACTAATCTCACTGATGATTTACGTGAGGGACGGCCTTCTACGGCGACGACTGAAGATAACATCTGTGTTGTGCGGCGTATGATAGAGACTGACAAAAGAGTGACCTATCAACAGATTCGGACAAGCTTAGGCATCGGTATGAGTCAAGTGCACAAAATCCTCCACGAACATTTAGCGGTCAGGAAGCTTTGCGCCCGGTGGATACCTCATAATTTGACTGAGGCTCAAAAACTCCATCGTGTGGATTGGTGTCGTAAAATGATTGAAAGATTTAACGGAGGTGACTCAAATGCTGTGTTCGACATACTAACAGGTGACGAAAGCTGGATTTACTGTTACGATCCTAAAACCAAAAGACAATCTGCTCAGTGGGTGTTTCCTTTCGAGGAGTTGCCAACTAAAGTGAAGAGAGATCGAAGTGCGGGAAAAAAAATGGTGGCCTCGTTCTTTGGAAGGATAGGTCATTTTGCAACAATTGTGTTAGAGGATCAAAAAACAGTTTCTGCAGAATGGTACACTACCAATTGTTTGCCACTTGTCTTGGAAAAAGTTCGAGAGAAACGACCTCGCAGTAGGATCCTCCTTCACCACGACAACGCCTCGTCGCACACCGCCAAGCGAACGATCGACTATTTGGCGACATCAAACGTTGAATTACTGGGTCACCCGCCGTATAGCCCCGACCTCGCGCCTTGTGATTTTTATTTATTTCCAAAAATTAAAGAAAAACTTAAAGGAAAGCGGTTTATGAATGCTGAAGAAGCGGTGGCTGCGTATCGCGATGCCATTGAAGAGACCCCTAAGGACGAGTGGGCAAAGTGCTTTTCCCAGTGGTTCCATCGCATGCAGCGGTGTATTGACGTAAATGGACAATATTTTGAAAATATATAATAAAACTAATAACTGGCTAATGTAATCAGTTTTTGATTTTCTAAGAACTTTCAGTTTGACCCTCGTAACATGCTCGGCTCAATTACGCCCTCGCCTTCGGCTCGGGCTGAAATTCCGCCTCGCATGTTATAACCATTATAACGCACTAATATCGTAATGTACTATAACAACCGTACCGCAGACCGAGCGACTAACCACTGCGCCATAGAGCTCTTATATGTCAGTATAATACATTTTATATCATTCGATTCTCTAATGATTCATAAATGGAATATAGTACTTAATAATTATAAAGGCATCGTCTTATAGTAGTAAGTATCTCCGAGTAGTCGCTAGTAAGATTTTATAAATTATAATTACGTATATTATACTTTAACAGTGTTATAAATAAACAAGTTAATTTAAGCTGAGACTGCACTTAGTACTAGTCAAAATTCATATTATTAAACAGAGACTTGGCAAAGGTTTACCTAGTGCGAGGCTCTACGGGAGTTATATTTACTCCTAGAAGGTAGTAGGTGTGCTTATTCTCTGTATAAAATGAATTTGGACTAATACTAAAATTTCAATTTTAGCGTAAATTTACTCTGACGCTAAAATTTGTTTATTAATAGAAGTGTAAATGTTTTTGAACTCACCTCCAATTCCACTTCGTTTTTAATACATTTCATTAAGGCAACCGGTGATAATGTTGACAAAATAGTGGCAACACCGTTCTGCAAAATGATAAAAATTAATAAAGACAACATCAAACACTCCTAGTTGTAACAAAAATATTGTTAGTCGGTCAGTGCTATTGTATTAGGGGAAATCTGGGAGATTTGATCAAGTAGAATCTGTTTAAAATTGCGTTTTCGGGTTTTTGTCATGTTACCAGGTATACACCTGGTTTCTGAATTGAGAATTTGAAGTTGAGCACGTCTCAAACCGTGCTTTAGCAATTTTAAACGTCAATTAAACGGGTTTTTATTACTGATTTATAATTTTTCAATGATCAGTTGCTAGCAATTTGTTCAAATTATGACTTTTTGCCATTTGAAAAGTAAAAAAACTTAAGTTATTGAGAATACTCAGTTGAGATTTTGTGCTTTTCTCAATTCAGAAACCAGCCGTTAGATTTTAGACATTATCTAAGAAAACAAAAAAGGACACTACAATTTAACAGCAATCACATATAGTTGTTCCATGTGGCCGGATTTTATTGTATCATATTTTTGCAGTGTACGATTTTAAATAGATATTATTAATAATGATTTTGGCGCGCACGAATTCATTACTATCATGATCATATCTCCTACTTGATCAAGACAGATTTCCCCTACTGTATCTTGACAATAGTTATATATGTATTATCTTTATCCCCTTTAGTTACTAAAGCTGATTTACAATGTTTTTTGTTTTGTTTGCATGTGTCGATTAAATACTTACGCTTTCAACTGCTGAGAAAACAGCATGGCTACCATCTTGTGATAGCCAGATTATGCTGCCATCGGGCATGTCACTCTGAAATTCATCATTATTTAAGATAGCATATTGATATTTATATTTTCACGTGCAATATCTATAAATGAAACAAAGTTTAAACGGTTTAATCGCGTTTGTATTTAGTTTTATTGACGTTTCGAACCCTTTACAGGTTCCGTGCTCACATAAGACTTGAAGTGTTGTTGTCTTTTAAATTGAAAGTATAGCTAGCTACCTTCAAAAACCGTAATACTATAGGACACATTCATAATACAATTCTTTTTTTTATTTTATGGCAACGTGGACATATGTTAAATTAAATTATTTTAAAAATAAATTTGAGTTACTTATTTACCCCTGGCTACCGTAATCTACCATCAGTTCCAAGTTTGGAAGTCTTTTCTGAGAAGAACTAGCGATACAAACTCCGACAAGAAAAGTGAATTGCTCCCTCTAATTTAATATTTACATACTGAACTAACTGTATCTTTTGGCTTTACAACGTGTGATCTGAATTAAGATTATATTTGACTAATTACTGGATCTCAAGCCAGTGGTATATGCCAACCTTCATCTCTATTAAAATTCAGAAATTAAAAAACATCCGAATTATATACGTGCTTATTATATACTAAAGATTAATTTAAAACTATTTCTTCAAATTAGACAAATATCCTATACTAAGTCTAAATTAAAATGTAGTTAATTTTTTTCATCCTAGTGCTAGTGAATGGCTCCCTAAGGATAAATGTACTTTCAACGAAACTCACCGTCATGTTCTCTAAATACGTAAATATGTCAGTGTAATTACGCGCCGTTAACTGTGTGTTCTCAGAAGACAAATGAGCTTGTATATCCGATGAGAGTTGGCCATTGCCCCAGAATAATATAACATTGTCTGGAGCACTCTGGAAAAAATATGAAAGAAATCGGGGAACTCATTGTATAATTTTAATATCTCTTGCAATTTGAATGTGACACTTAAAATATATTCAAGAACACGAACGATCACGACGACTTGTTGAATGATGTGTGAAATATCTTTCAAATCTATATAATAAGAGTTGCATACAAACTGCAATCTTTCGTCTGTAGTTTTCTTGATAATTCTAATTATTGAATTATATTCGAATGTAACATAATTCTATAATTTGGATTGCGTTTATAATAGCTATAATATAAAAACAATTAGCCCATGGTTACATGATGAAACTAAATTACACGAAACAAATTTCACTATGGCGTGCAATCTTCAATATCTCTGAAACACTGATCTCAGTCCACATCGAAGTTTTATTATGATGAAATTAGTTTTGTAACACTAGTTTCATCATAAATATGCGCATCACACGAAACTAATCTAGTATCGTGAAACTAATGCATGCATTGTGAAACTGGACGTTTACACGTGCAACTGCTGCACGATATTAATGCAATGAAACTCATAATGTCATGCAACTAATTCCATAATTTGAATTTCGGTTTAACGGTTTCTCGTTTTTTATTGGTTTTCACTGTCACAGATACGCTTATTATATTTCTAACATGAATAAAAAATTGCCTCCACCATGTGGCCGATGGACTTTATATATATTATACTACTCTTTGGGATTTATTGTGTCTGGCTCAATTATACCGATAGCGGACCGAATTTTTGCAATGAACTCGCGCGTTTTCCAGGAAAACGAAAAAAAGAATGTCACCCGTCCGAAAACTGTTGTAGTGTTGGCATTTAAGCTTAATAAAAACTGCCCCAGTACAAGTCGGACCCGCCCACGAAGGGTTCCGTAACATTATTTATTTTTAAAAAAGTTTAAAAACATATTTGTTGTTTTCTATGGAGTTGTTGATATTTTCGAGTTTAAATACAATGGGTCGACTTAACTCGAAAACTTATAAAGCCAACTTAATTGGGATAGTTATCATTTTGACTTCTTTATATTGAGGTACTGCTGCCGTTACGTTTAAATTTATAGCAACGACCGTTTAATCGGTAGAGACTCCAGATTAAAACGAAAATTAGCTTTTTAAAGCCTAATAAGTCACAAACGATTATTTAAAATGGCCTACCCACAACCCCAATGTTTTTAAAAAACCAATCCAACGATGCGCCACACTATGGAGATGACAAAAAGAAATTATCATCCCCCACTATTGTAAGGGATCCGAAATTTTTTATTTTTTCAAAATGTTACTTTTAATTAACGTGTATACTCCTGCCAAATTACAACTTTCTAGTGCAACCGCGTGTAACCGCGAACGGACAAGGCGAATCTGTAAGAGTTCCTTCTTAAGTACGGAACCCTAAAAAGCTGATTTAATTTTGACTAGTCCTGCTGTAATGGTTGTTAGTTTAAGGAACATTATTGTTCGAAACGCGGTGTAATCTGAGCAAAGTATGGTTGAATCGCGAAGTTATATTAGACTACGTACAATTTCGTTGTAAAAATTCGCTTCCAACCAAATTTGCGTCTACTCTTAAACATATAATCATTATCATTTTTTTTCATTATCAGCCCTTTTACGTCCCCACTGCAGGGGCTCAGGCCTTCCTTTTGTATGGTTAAGGAGGATGGGCCATGACCCTCCACGCTGGCCCAATGCGGATTGGAGGGTTATTAACGACTGCATATGCAGCCGGGACCGACGGCTTAACGTGCCTTCCGGAGTAGCTCGAGATAATAATTTTTAGGTCACCCATCCCGTGACCGACCCTTGCGAAAGTTGCTTAACGACTACGATCGCGGGCCGCGGCGCTTATCCACTACGCCACCGAACTACTCTAAACATCCAACAACATATAATCTACTCACCAAATCACTTCTAATAACCAAATAGGAGAAGAACACAGGATTGTATGGTATGTCTGATCCACGAATGTTCAAGGTGTCTGTTAATATAAATTAATTAATTAATCAATTTATTTATGTAAAGCAACAAGCAAGTTTCGCCTATTGACTACTTGACATTAATGTGACAGTAAATGAAAGTATATACAATTAGTTAAATATACTATTACCGGTAATCACACTTTTATGCTTATTATATTAATATTGCTTAAATTAATTATGAAAAAACAAATATTTATACAATAAATAGCGGGTAACGTCATGCCCCTCTTACTCATATGAGAACTTAGAGAATTGGACCTTAAGCATACATGGAATGATATTAGTTTGGGAGGGGCGTGTCGTCATAGTGACGCTATAACAGATGTTGGCGGTTTCGCGGGAAATTTTGAATGCTAAATTTATTTTTAGGTTTTAAACTTATTAAATGAATCTTTTTTTTTATTAAATATTTCACGTACCTCTATAAAAAAAATATATTAAAAGTTTGTCTACACCCCTATTATGAACTATGTTGGAAATAGTAACTTATGCGTAAATAAGAATATTTTGTGAATTATAAGTATATTTTATTTCTGCCAAATTAATTTTCGATCGTATAATCAGAGGATTACGAGAGCAGAAACGCGGGCGGCCATTACAGCGCATCGTGTGACGTCACATTTTAATAAACTAAACGTCGATGTCTTTGTTGCGAGTGCAACAATACTCATTTTGATTAAAATGAGATGTCACGGCTCGTGATATCACGTGACTGATTGATTTCGAGGGAATATTTTAATAAATAATTTATTAGCAGAAAAATAAATGTGATAGTAGCTTAATATGATCATATGAAAATTTTAACGGTCAAGTAGATAATTACAAAATTTGTATCTTACATGCGATGTCATCCAGGGCAGTTAATATAAGCGCTTTAGCATTCCTCGTTTCCATTTGACGAATTAACTCAGCAATCTTTTCATTCGACGACTTTCCTTTAAACAAATATACAAGGGCGATTAAAAAATTATCTTTGAACATTTGTGAAAAGGAACAGCCTTATTCTGCATTATTACGTATTATCATTATTAAATACGTAATAATTTGCCAATTATTACGTATTTAAAAAAAACGAAAGCACTAAAAAGGCACCTCCACTAGATGACGACTCTAGCAAAAGATGATTTTTGCAGGAAACGAATGGACCTAAAACAGTAATTTCCGTTCTTTTTAACTAATATATTAAAAAACTGAAATTTGATAAGTTCGAAACTTAGATATCAATACAAATACGAAAAAGTACAAATAGAATATGAGTTGTTAATTGAGTTTTGAAAACTAATTCACTTTTAAACTTGAAAGAAAACCGGAGGTTGTCATGGAGTAATCAAGAACGTACCTTAGCGACATCTAGTTTGATTTCGGGAACTAATGTCTTTTTTTTTAATACTTTCTCATTGAGTTAGCGAATAGGCCTGCAGGGCGCATCACTGGGTTGTGTCATCACCGTCTGACATAGTTGATTTGCACCGATTACATCAGTCGTATTTTTGAGCCGCTAATCGCAACTTTCGAAAAGTAAGTAGGATGAAAGTTGAAAAACTCAGGACAATTCAGTGAAAAAGCAGAACGTATTAATTCTTTCTTAATTTTAACAACAAAAAGCCCGGCCAAGTTCGGGTCGTATTCGTACAAAAGGGTCCCGTACAACTTTTATAAAAAACACAAACAAATAACTTTTCTGTAAAGGAGCCCCCTTAAATATTTATTTTATTCTGCTTATTTGTTGTTACAGCGGCAAAAGAAATACATCACAAATAAAAAATTTCTATCTATCACGATTCATGAGACACAGCATGATGACAACTAACCGATAAACAGACAGTTTTATCATCCATAAGAAAGGCCCAGGCTCGTGCGTGATAGGGCTGATGATGACACTCAAGTCACTATTCCCGCCCTTACATCACCTTCTTCAATACTGTTACGGGATGGCATTACGAAACTATGCGTGTGATATATACGTTGGCAAGAAAGGGGAAAGGATTGGGGAAGAAAGGAACAGGTACAGCTCTATAACTTTTTGATAATGTCGCGAAAACACCAGTAGGACCGAGGCCAGCCTCATAGCCTGAAATACTATAGATTCCAACCAAGAACATTCTAGATGTCGGTAAAATCTACCTCGGCCAGTATAAATACGCGGTCAGCTACTCGTCCCGGCATTTTTTTAGTGACAAGTGAACTGACTAATGAAGTAAACTATCTGAACGATATAGTAGTGTTGTGAGGTGACCGTAACGCCGTTGTAACGTGTATAACAAAGTTTCACTCTTTAGCTGATTGTTAATCATCTGTTTTGAATTTTATTGATAAAATAAAGAGTTGAATTATAAATTTAATTTGCGTTAATTTTTAATTCAGAACTCTAGCTCGTAACTCACTCACCTGTGAAATTGACATTGAGAGGTATCAGATCATCATTAGGTCTGTTTGGTGCAGGATCACCAATCCTCTCCCTCGCTATATCCACCAGATTTTGTGGCGTTGATTTTAATGTTACATTGACAGCTCTTAGTGCTGCCTAGAAATAAATAAATATTATATAACATCACATACATTGCTCAGATTCCAAGACAAATAGCTGAAGCCTAGAGTATCTGAGACAAAAAAGGTATCATAAGACCCAGAACCGAGACTATTTTAGAAAAGTTCATTTTCTACTTTGACAAACGGACCGGGGACCTCAGAGATGACGACACCTTGAAATCAACCTTGAATGTATTATCTGTATTATTTCAATTTCAATTTATTTATTAGCCATTTATAACAATATTGTTATACAAGGTATGTCAGTTCACAATTTATAGTTCAATTAAATCTTAATCTCAAGAGAAAAAATAAAACTTACAGTATCTAATTACATCATGTCATAAAAGTAGATTCGCTTATACGCATCGTCAAAAATTCATTCAAGGAATAGAGAGGATTTTGCTCAAAAAAAGATTTCAGAATACTTTTAAAGCTACTGTGGTTTTTGTTTGTAATACTTAAAGGTAATTTGTTATACATTATTATTTTTAGATAAATACCCTGTTTTTGAACTTTTTTTAGTTTTACCTTTGGATGACGTAACTTTTCATTATTACGTAGATTATATCGATGAGAATCACCTTTTCTTGCAAAATTTTCCTTCTCTACATGGATTTCCAACAAGCTATTATATATATATAAGGAAACAACGGTCATTATTCTGTCTTTCTTAAAATAGGCTCTCGCTGATGTACGCTTACTTACGTTATTTATAGTTCTTATTGCCCTTTTTTGTTGTTTGAGCACACTCTGTATTTCAGCAGCATTTCCCCATACTGTGATTGCATATCTTATAATTGAGTGAATATATGCATAATATACTGTAATGAGTGTGCGTTTGTCTACTAATGGCTTCAGTTTCATTAAAGCATAATTTGCACTGGCTATTCTTTTGCAAATATCTGTAATATGGTTAGAATGACAGATTGTATAGTCTACTGTATAGCCTAGAAATTTGTTTTCCGTTGTTGTTACTTGATTTTTATTTTTTTTAGCACAATACTTCATTACGATACTCTTGTTAGTATTCATCATAATTCCGTTTGCTTTGAACCAATCCTTAAGAATATCCATCGCGTAATCAACTTTATATCCTAAGTATTCTTCAGATTTGTCTCTTATACCTACGTGAGTGTCATCCGCAAATAAACTAATGTGAGACCAATTTGGCACAGCACTAGCAAGATCATTTATGTATATTAAGAATAATACTGGGCCCAAAATAGAGCCTTGAGGTACTCCTACATCTATTTTGCATATGTTTGAGTTGTAATTATCAACTGAGACAACTTGGCTACGGTTTGTTAGATAGCTTTCAATAATTTTTAGTTCTTTTCCTTGTAATCCATAGAATTTTAGTTTTGTTAATAAGATATCATGTCTTAAGCAGTCAAATGCTTTAGACAGATCGCAATAAATACTGGCACACTTTTGTGACGAATCGAGTGATTCCAATATGAAGTATATGACCCTGCGAATAACCATTTCTGTCGATCTATTTTTTCGAAAACCAAATTGTGCACCAGTAAACAAGTTATTGTCTTCAAAAAACTCCAAAAGTCTTGTTTTAATTATAGTTTCCAAGACTTTAGATAAGGTTGGTAAAATGCATATTGGTCTATAATTTCCAAGTTCAAAAGTGTCTCCTTTTTTATATAATGGTGTTATTTTACCTACTTTTAATATATCTGGAAATATTCCTTGTTCTAGACAAGACGCAGTCACTATATACATAAGTTCCATGAGGTAATCATTACTTAGTAGTAGTTTGCTCATTGTGTCCGTGCTCATGTCATATATATCCAAAGATTTTTTCCTTTTCATATTAATAACACTTGTGTAAAACTCCATTTCGTCTAGATGTTTAAATATTAATGTCGAATTCGGCTTCTCAACACGATAGAGGTATTTTTCACATTCACTCTCATTAACATGCAAATTAGTAGTTAAGTTATGAGCAATACTTTTAAAAAATATATTAAATAAGTTCGCGATTTCTCTCGGATCCGAAGCATATTGACCATTTTCATTTTTTATTGGACCAATTTTACTTTTTTGATGATACCTCTTGTTGTGTCTTAACTGTTCATTTACTATCTTCCACGATTCTTTAATCTTATTACTTGATGATTGTATTCTCTTTTTGTATTTGAAGTTTTTTGCTACCACCATGACTTTTCTAAGTGCTTTTCTGTATTTTTTAATTTTTAATTTTAATTCTTCACTAGGTTTGTAATTATGCAGTATTTCCATTTTAGATAAATTATTTTTTGAAATTTCAATTCCTTTGGTTGACCATTTCTTCAAATTATTTGGGCAAATTGATTTTCTCACTAAAGGAAATGCAACTTTATAACAGTGATTAATAGCATCTTGAAGTATGTCCATTTTTTTATTAGCATCATAACAAATAAGAATTTCATCCTTTAGTCGGCTAACGTCTTTGTTAAATAAATAATGAAAATAGTTAAAGTTAGTTTTCGATAAATTTCTTGTAATTATTTTATTATTTTTACTAGTTGTTAATTTGTCAATAATTATATTTAGTTGTATTACGTTATGGTCAGATAATTTTCTATTTAATACTGACCCCGTGGTATTGTTCATATTTACTATAAAATTATCTATGCAGGACGAGCTTCTACCTTGTATCCTAGTGGGTTCATTTATTGTCCATTTGCAATTGTAATTTTTTAAAATTAGGTCAAACTTGCTCAATTTGCTGTCTTTCTTTAATACATTAATATTAAAATCACCGGCTATTATAAAGTTTTTGTCCTCTCGGCAAACTCTAGAGAGTAACTTTTTTAATATATCAAAAAATAAATTTAGATCCTTTTCTGGTATATACAAACATATTATTATTATTTTGGATGGCTGCAACATTATTATAAAATGTTTAACGAAAAATGCTTAAAAAATCCACTTTGAGATAGGACTCGAACCTATGACCTTTAGCAATCCGGGCGACTGCTCTAACTACTAAGCTACCCAGGACCTAACAGGACCGACGAATTTTTCAAGAAATTGTTACTTTTTATCTCAGAGTGCTGGGGATAAAGTGGATTGTAAAACCGTATAAAAATCTTAAAATAAAAAAATGATTTTTGTCTTTGTGTCACGTGACATGAAACACGACCGTTGTTGACGTCACTGTGGCGACAACAGTCAGATTAGTAATAATAATCCTAGATGGCGCTGTTCTTAGCTCATTAAAATTTTTTTATTTCGTAAACGATTGGCATGTTCTTTTTTTATTGACATTTTTTAATATTCTAATCTATGTATCTCTTTTGTGTACATATCACAATGACGTCATGAATATGACAGATAGCAATTTCGCGGGAACAAAAAAAGTTAAAATTTTTATGTATGCCAGAAAACGTGTTTATTTTTCTAAATATTTGTTTTACGGCTTTTTTAAATTAAAATAAACAATTAAAAGTGTTATTTCAAACAAAGTAAAATACCCAATTGCCGCTAGTGTACCAAATCAAGAGTACGAAACGTCACAATAGGGAATATGCACATTTTTGGAAAATGGTTTTATATGATAATTTACATCGATATTTAACTGTTAAAAAAATACCCGGCACCGAAAAACTAAAATTTTGTAACATTAATAATTGATAAAAATAAGTAATAGCTATGAGCAGTTTAAACACCGGAATTTTTGGCGCGCTCGTCGTGACGTCAAAGTACACGACTAGAGATATGACATTTAAATCAATATGGGTTTTTGAGTAATAGATTATTATTCAATTACCTTAATCGATTAACAACTAATCGATTTTTTAAACTATAATAGACTTTTTAATAAATCGTATAATTTACAATACTTAATTGGTGAAATAAAAATAAAAGCCTAAAACTCACTTAAATTGTAATCAGTTGTTTATTTTGCGACATAATACATTGATGTTAACTTTTTGTAACAACGACATCCCTATACGTGTACATTTAACCTAAACTAATATTGAAAAATATTTAGATAGAATTTATTCTAAAGCAATAACGATTGTAATAAAATATATTTAACCTTTTTTGAATCAGACGCATATTCCTTATTGCAATGTCGATCGAACGCAATTGCTTTCAATATTAAGCATGAGCGTGCTGAACTATTCATAAAGAGTATAATTAAATAAGTTGTTTAATTTATCAAAATAAAATAATGTCACTTATCCGTAAATGATTTTGTGTTGGCATCAAATCTAAATATTGTATATATAGCTGATTTGACTTGTCATGCTGTAGGGTAGTTACTACTTATAAGTGGTGTTACTGTTCGTAACGCGGTGGCGCATAGACGTGTAATCGGAGTGGTTGAATTTAAAAGTTTCATGACGCAAATATTTTGAAAATTGCATGATTTAAATACTCGGGAGATGTTACCTCTAAAGTTATCCAAGCGGTACGCGTATAAGTAGTTGGGTCTATACCCACTACGGAATTTTGGGCCATATTGTCCACCAACCAACTCTGAATAGACGCATCAGTACCTGAAAACAAAAGATGATATTTTTAAAATAAAACTGATTTAAAAAAATATTTGAAAGAATAATTCTTAACAACTACAAAGGGTTAACAAATTCAAGAAACTACATCTGAAGTCAGTTTAATGCTCGCCATGATTCAAATGAAGTTTATTGAATTTTTCAAGCATCTTTTTAATGCTTTTTTTGAAGTTGTAGCAAATACAACATCGTTAAGATATATTATATTATATTTTATAATTCCCACATTATATTATATAAAAATTACCCTTATAAATACAGAATATTTTGACATCTACACATATTTTAAAAGGAAGATTTGACTGTTTATTTGTATTGAATAGGCTTAAAAACTACATGGTCGGTTTAAAAAATTAACACAGGCGAAGTCGCGTGAAAACATCTAGTTTTGACATAAAAAATTTTTTAGACATATTTACCTTGTCTCATGAGTTTGAAGTGTTCTGTGTTGACTTGTATCTCGAATTGCGTGAAATATCTGCTGTCTGTCCATACGAGTGCTTCTGTGGCTGTCACCACGACTGTACCTGATATCAAAGAAATAATAAACACGATTGTGAGGAACACAATAGCGCGTTTGGTCTGCGATGCGGAGATTAAATATGTTAAGCAACTTTCACAAAGTCCAGCCATGGAATGGATGAACAAAAATTTAATAGCACTCACAAGCTTTGTTTTAGCGTACAATCAACGAAAAATTTGAGACACTGAGTCCGTCTACATTGAAGCCGTACTATGCACGACATTAGTTTCACCATGTAAATCGAGGTGTAATTAGTTGCGTGATGCTAGTTTAGTGTTGCGAAACTAATGCATGCATTACAAAAAAGGACATGTGCCAGTTGCGTTGCGTAATGATTGTAATCAAACTAATTTCAATTTCAAACTAATGATTAACCTTTATTTCAATGTATTTTTAGTATTATTGTTTAATAATTAAGCATACTACTCGAATGTTTACCCTTTTTTAGTTTACGAAGTTAGTTACAACTTTTATTAAATAAAGACTAAAATCGTATAAAGGTGCATGCTGAGGAAATTATTAATATATAATTAGATTGCATTAAGTTGCTAATACCTGATGAGCCTTGCAGTCCTGACAGCCATACACGACGAGCATCCGCCGGTGCTATGTACTGCGACTGAGTAGGAATAAAGGTTCTTTTCAAGCAGTTATAGCACAAGAGTTCGTGACAAAAATGTATATACAATGTGTAACATAATTAACGCACATCCTGAAAGTAATTTGTTTATACGCCGATACTGATTCGATTTCAAAAACTTCTAATATAGTTAGGTTTTTATTTTGCTAAATGGAACGGAATCAAGTAAAATAATAGTCGCTTGTAACCATTGCAGCTGTCACAAATAAAAATAAACTTAAATGAATATAATAAGGCTTTTTAAAATGACACATACTCTTAGCTTGTAATAAAATACAACATAGGATAAAAAAAAGACAAAGAAAATGAGCTTTCTTTTAATATGCCTCTGTATTCTAAAATACTCTTAAACGCTATGACGCACAAATTCATAAACCAAAGAGTTAAATAGTTCATAAACAAAGAGAAAAATAATACTGTGCTCGCCGCCAAAACTATGCTAGCCGATACTCATAACAAGTAAGAATCACAGTTAATGTCTAAACTTAAAAAAACACTTTGAATCTTGAAACAGAATAATATATCATGGCGAGAATTTGTATTGATAGATAGGTGGTATCTTCGTGGTATTGCGCTGTAAGTACATACATACATTTGTAGTTGCAGGCTAAGTCGTAGTTTTGACGTCATTGAATGGATTTCTAAGATGTCTACACTGTTACCCAGCAATTAGTACAACTGTGTCCATACATAAACGATGTTTTAGTACATGAAATTAAGTTTCCAATATTCGTTTTATGATTATAAATTCATTTTCTAATTGGGGTGTATAAGGATGTGCATTATTTACACGTTGTATATCGTCGAGATAAGGCTATAAAATAGTATAACTTAAGTAGATATTTTTAACCAATAGATGAGAATTTGAATGAAATATAAACTTTTATTAGCTAATAATAGTATTACAGTTCTTTGCTTAATTCAAGTTCTTGTTTATTTGTTGATAGTATTTGCTTAAGTAATTATTTTTACTCAACTGTAGATACCGGTGTCCATTCCAGAAATGTCGGGTGGCTAAGCACTAACGCGCGACTGTAGACCGTATATTGGTAAGATTTTGCTAATAGTTGATTTGTCAGCCTGACTTATTCTTTAGATTTACATTGAGACAGATCAATTTGGGCATCAGTTAAGAAGTAGAGCAAAAGATTCCTTAACTAAGGATAACTAAAAGACTAAAAACCGATTTCCGTCTACAATATATCAATTCATCTTTCAATGGATTCAAAACTTAACAAACAATGCAACATATGCTTATTATGAGAATTTCAAAATTCAATATGTGTTACAGATATTTTTAAAATACAAAGTACTCGATGCTCGGAGTACGTGTCACCCAGTGCAGAGGTCAGGACCTGGAACTACTCAAAACTAACTTTTCATTCACCTCGTAATTTTTTCGTAATTCAAACTTTAATCGGAACTGAATTTGTAAGACGTGACCACCATATTCCACAAGCGTGCAGTCTGAGCAGTGCTTTAATGTGTTTCATATTAAGAAAAAGCTTCTTAAACATTTTTAACTATTTTGAAACTTTAAGTATAGTCCTGCATACATCAACGGGCACCGCCGCCAGGGGCACCTGACCTCCATACTGAATACCCTTAGTATTTCCACATACTGAAATATTAAGCTTTAGAAAACTCTTACACTTTTTTGTCACGAGCTCTCCACCTATAATGATTCTGAAATGAAACCATGAAACTGGCCTCACGCTCATAAATCCATTACGTTAATGTGAAAAATGTTGAACTCACGTTGTGTGCGTCAGCTGTAGGTATGACGTAAGCATCAACATCATTCTCGGCCATTACATCACGAACTGCTGTTAATCTGGCTAAACTACCCTCCCTGCTGTTCTTTGTGGAAGTAGTATCAAAAGACACTGAAACATCAAATCATCATATAGAACATTTATCTACACTCAAATCTCTTCATGCCGCAGCGCGCAGCCGTATAAAGGAGCTTGGCTATAAATATGTGTGGGTGCGTAACGGGCGTATTTATATTCGCAAAACAGAAACTTCCGAGTCCATTTTTGTCCGGAATAAGGATATTTTAGATAAGCTTAAGTAACAACACATTTCATGTTTATATGTATATGTTTATAATAAATAACATTATAAGTGTATCTTTATTTTTTATCGTTAAAAATGACTTCTAATAAGTGTATAAACATCGGATATCAAAATGTAAGAGGCTTACGTACGAAAACAAATAACTTATTTTTGTATACCTCCCTTTCTGTCTACGATATCATAATGCTAAGTGAGACTTGGCTGAACACTAGTATAAAAGACTCGGAGCTATTTAGTGATAGGTATAACGTTTATAGACGTGATCGTGAATCAAGTTCATTTTATAACACAAAGGATGGGGGTGGAGTTTTAGTGGCAATCTCAAAAAAAATTCTTCTTTCAGAATTACAAATTATGATAGCAAATGCGAGGATTTATGGTTAGAAATTGACATTAGGATAAACAGTAAGTTAGAAAAACTATTGTTATGTGCTATTTATCTACCTCCACCTACACCCGCCCATATTTTGCAACATTTCTTTGACAATGCTAATTTAGTGATTAGTAATAGTAATTATAAATATATCCTTATTTGTGGCGATTTTAATCAAGGACATATAATGTGGAGGGGTATTCAGGGAAAACCACTTACACCATATACCACTGATTCTGGCGTCAATACACAGAATTTAATCGATTTTATCAGTTACAACAATCTTAATCAATATAATTATGTACCAAATAAAAATAATCGAATTTTAGACCTAGTTTTAACAAATTTACCAATAAACCACATAGTTAGTTCCACGTCACCTCTTAGTATTATTGATCATCACCATCCGCCACTGGAATTTTCGATTTACATAGGAGATTATGCGAATAATTTACAAAACAATAACGATTGCATAAGGAAGAAATTTTATAAAGCTGATTACGACAAAATTTGTAAGTATTTCGACGAATTTGATTGGAGTAGTATTTTAAGTTCAAATAGGTCAGTAGACGAAATGACTAATGAATTTTACAAAATTTTAAATGACGCTATAAAGGCATATGTACCCAACTCACGAGCTAAGTCCAATAAAACTCCAATATGGTTCACAGCTGAGTTGAAACGGCTATTAAAAGAGAAATATAAATATCGCGCTCGCTTTATGAAATATAAAAACCCACTAGATAAATTGACATTTAAAACATTAAGAAAAAGATGCAGCATTTTGGCCACACAGTGCTATAAAAATTACATTTCGTTGATGGAAGACTCTATTAAAAGTAACCCAAAATTGTTTTGGTCCTTCGTTAAACAAAAAAGAAACAACTCCAGCACATTTCCATGTAAAATTACACATGAAAATTTTACAGCTACTACAGGCCCTGAGATATGCAATACATTGGCTTCCTTTTTCTCTTCTACATACAGCACCAGCACAATCACCTATGCTGATACGAATAAAGGGGTTGAAACTGGCTTCAATGCTTGTGTTGCTGGTATCGATGTTGGCGTTGTCGGCGGTGATGCTGGCGATTCTAATGCTGAGGTCAGGAGTAGTGCTGCTGAGTGTGTAGCTCGTATTGATACCGGTCTTTCAGGTATTGGTGCTGGCGATTCAGGTGTTGATGCTGGTCTTATTGGTACTGATACTGGTGTTGCTGTTGTCAATGCTGGTATTTCTAGTGTAATTGACAGTGTCTCTGGAGATATTGGTGTCGATGTTGGAGTTACTGATGTTGTTGATACTCGCGATAAGGGCGAGGCCTTTGAGAATATAGAATTCCCATGATCAGGTTCTAAAGTATTTAAAGTCAATAGATCGTAACAAAGGAGCTGGTTCTGATGGTATACCCAATATATTTGTATGGAGATGCGCTAAACAGTTATCACTTCCCCTCACGCTTATATTTAACAAGTCACTCGCATCTGGAATATTCCCTACAGCTTGGAAAACTGCCCTTATCACGCCAGTTCATAAATCTGGTGACAAAGAAATAGCCAAAAATTATAGACCCATCTCGATACTACCAGTTTTTGCCAAAATACTTGAATCAATGATATATCCTATAATAACCTGGCATGTAAAACAGCTAATTTCTCCGAACCAGCATGGTTTTGTTGGTTCACGTTCCACTAGCACTAATCTGGTAGATTTTGTTGATGAAGTGAGTCAATCTGTTGACGCTCATATACCGGTAGATGTGATTTATACAGACCTTTCAAAGGCTTTTGACAGGGTTAGTCACAAAATTTTATTAACTAAATTGGCTAGTTATGGTTTTGCAGGGGATTTCTTAAAATGGTGTTCCTCTTATTTGTCCGACCGAACTTCAAAGGTAACTGTGAATGGTTACATATCAGACCCTTATGAAAATCAAACTGGGGTGCCTCAAGGCTCGCATTTGGGACCAGTCTTCTTCAATCTCTTCATTAACGATATCGTTAGCTGTTTCAAGAATTGCAAATGCTACATGTATGCAGATGACCTAAAGTTATTGAAACCAATCCTTTGTTCTGAAGATATGAAGTTATTACAAGAAGACATTAATAATTTGGAACGATGGTGTGTTAGAAATAACATGCTATTAAATGTTGATAAGTGTCAGTTTATTACTTTCACCAGAAATCGACACACACAGCCCAGATGTTATAGTATAGCTCACCAGCCTTTAAATGAAGTTGAAGAGGTCCGTGATCTGGGGGTAATATTAGACAAAAAACTCTCCTTTAAAAAACATTATGACTGTATAGTTAATAAAGCCCTTAAGTGTTTAGGTTTCGTAATAAGAAACAGCAAGGATTTTAAAAATGCATCAACAAAGATTAACCTTTATAATAGTATCGTTCGTTGTGGCCTTGAGTATTGCTCTGTTGTATGGTCTCCATTTTACGAAGTGCACTCAAATAAAATTGAGAGAATACAAAAGAAGCTTCTGTACCATCTGGCTTATCAATCAAATGTGGCTAAAAAGCTGACATCTTACGCGGATAGATTAAAATACTTCAAAATGGACTCTTTGAAAAGCAGACGGAAACGAATAGATCAAGTATTCTTATATAAGCTGGCGAATGGAATCTTAGACTGTCCCGTACTGGTGAATAAATTAAATTTTAATGTCCCTTATAAACTTGCGCGTTGGTCCAGATACACCTTATTTTCCGCTAAATTAACCAAAAGTAAACTAGGATATCATTCTTCACTAAACAGATTGCAAAACCAATATAATAGTATATCAAAAAACAGAATTTGACAATTTTAGATTTAAATTGTCAAGCTTTAAAAAACAGCTCAACATCATATGTCAATGAAGAGTTGTCATCTATGGGCGCACACTGTTCCGTTATTTTTATCTGTTTCGTAACATTTTAAGCTTCGAGTCTTAAAATCTTAAAATTGGCATTGTAATAATTAAAAAATCTTAAAATTAGCATTATAATAATTAAAATAAAATAATAAATATTTAATTAAATGTGTAGCTTGATGTCAATAGCAATATATTTTATTAACCATAGTCACTTTTATATTTAACCTATTAAGTTTCTTTACTTTTAATTTATAAAAGTATGTTATACTGTAATTACATTTAAGCTTGTTTATTGTTGGGGCCACACGCTTCCAGGTTACATTTTCATGTGCATGTCGTGGTAACCTTTAATTAAGGCAGCACATTGTCTTTGTTATTTATTATTAATTTATTTGCATGTATAGTGTTTGACCTTGTTGGTTGCTCAAATAAATAAATAAAAAAAAATAAAAAAAATATACAAACGCACTTTATAAACGCATATATACATAAAATTAAAAATAAAACTCAATATAGTGCCGCCAACTGTATCATAAAACTCATTATAGTTCCGCTAACTTTTTTTTAATTCATTATACTAATCTATGGTTTTAGGCTGAATATGAAAAAATGGCGCACGCATGCGTAGTTTGAACTTAATTTCCCGCGTTTCCCATACATTTTTTACCGTATCGCATTTTGTATTCGGGATTCCAAAAAAATTACTTCTTTGTAACCTACCTACTTTTTATTAATTTCTATAAGTGAAGATAAAGTAGTGTATGAAACTGCATATACCTTAGGTATAAAAACACTCGAGTCGACCTATTATCGATAAACAGGCTCGTGTTTTAATACCCCTTCTTATATGACAGTTGCATAAACTACTATAACCAAATATGGAAAAATATTGTCATGTAAAATGTCGCCAAGACGACAATATATTGCTCTCGTCGATAAATTATCTGTAGGCCATTACTACTAATTTTTATGTAATAAATCGCAAGTCAATAGAATTATTTGCATATTGCCATTATCCTATCTATCTGAAGTCCAATATTATCAATTTTCTTACAATGAGTTTAATAACTAGAGAAGCAATTTCATACAACAGACGCGCCAAAAAGCGTAGCACTTTTCCGAAATCAGGACGTAGCTTTGCAAATTATATTTATACTATATAATATAAATAGGTTTATTACATTTGTCTCTCTCATATCTACGATTACACCTTAAATTAAACAAAGACAGAATATGTGCGAACGACAGAATGAACGAAAAAATGGGTAATTGATATTGTATTGCCAGCTCTCGAAAATTCACCCATTATGATGAATGAATGAATGAACAAGTAATGTAGATATATGTATAAAATCAATTAGAAAAATACTGTAACTTTGAAAATTTATTTGAAAAAAAAAACAATCACGAAAGTAGGCTCTGTGCATATAAATCCCTTTGTTAAAGTCAATGTTTAAGAGAAAAACATTTGTTAAAGTTAACAAAAGATCAGACAGAGGTTAAATTTTCCGTATTTTCAAAAGTTGAATCTCGACAACTAACGAATTACACGCCTTGAAAAAATTAAATTAACTTTAAAAAAATAAATCACTTTAGCATCTGTGTGCGTGTATGAAAAAAATATCAACACAATTTGCACACTTGCCTATACTAAATCTGAGCCATATAATTAATTAAAAGAAGAAATTTAGATAAATTATAGCCACGTAAAGTAAAAAGAAAAGGCTCCCATATTGTGGGGAAAATTGAAAGTGAATAGCAATGGCAACATTGACGATAAAATGTCAAAATTTTATTTGTGAAAATTAAATATTTTTATTTTATAAACTAGCTTAAATTTTGTTTTTATTGCCAAAAATGTTAATAACTTAAGTGTGAAACTTAATATTCTTTCGTATTATGTGTATTTGTGAAAGAGAATCGTAATTTATCCACTGTTTTTCTTCGTATTTGCGGAGCATTTTTTTGTACTTTCTCGGCGGGAGTTGAATGAGTATTGAAATGAAAAACGAAAAACTAAGACAAACGTCTTAGTTTTAGTAGCTTCACTTTTTGGGTACGTATTGCGTATCTAGAGATATTAATATCATTGTTTTCTTACCATAATCAGGCATGTCTGGCTCAGCCCAGTTGAAATACCGCATCGGGATTTCATCACAATTAACATTGTATGTGAATCTAGAAAAATAATCACCATTAGTTGAACCCACTGTTGAGTCATAGGTCATGTTGTCACGAGGCTATTAATGTCCCCCCTTGGGGCATAGGCGTTTCCTATTAATCGAATGGTATAGGGAAAATGGGCTTTAACTCATCATGCGTTTAATTCACCATACAGTGATACAAAAGACCAAACTCAAAAGTCAAAATAATCTTTATTCAAATAGACTTCTTAAAAGTACTTTTGAATCGTCCAACATTTTTCCCTACCACTCGTTCAGGACTAACGGAGCCTTTAATAGTAACCATTGTGACTGGTTGTATTATACGGTTTTCAACAAAGCGATTTAATTTTTTTATAAGCTAATTAATAGATATATCTGTATTTGCTTGTAATATTTGTATTAAAGACCTATTAAGGAGTATTTATTTATAAGATTACGATTGTAAAAAGGTTGGGAACCAGCTTTCCAAAACTCATATAGATAAATAAGTAATTAGTTACTTGAGAAAATGTATTTCACTAATAGACACGAATTTGAATGAAATAAAAACTGTTAGTATTTAATAATAATAGTAGTTTAACTATAAATAATTCTTACTTTATAGGAATTATTACCTACTACTTACTAATGTTTAATGGGATAGAAAGTATCCTATTATCAAAATCAGCTAATACCCTATCTGTATACCAAATTTCATCAAAATCCGTTCAGTAATTTCGGCGTGATTGAATATGGTATAAATATCTGCTTACGTTATGACATATTTCCAAATAATTACTTCACTCTACATCGTACGAGTGGAACACTTCAAGAGGTATCCCAAAACCAAAGCTTTTTCGATCATCAGAAATCAGGAATTTTTATATGAATGTTCCGTTTTTCATAAAATGTACTACTATATTGACCATCCGGGAATCGAACCCTAAATCAAGAATGAATCTTAAAAATACCTACACTTTTGAACCTACATTAGAAATCATTAATCAAAAATCATTATATAACTCATATTTAACGCTAAAACATCAAGTTCAAACAGTTTTACTCCCATAGTACTTATATAGAAAAGGTATACTTACAGAATAAAAAAAATTATACCGTATATATAATAGGCGGCCATTTCGACCAAACAAAAGGAGTTCAATGATTTTATCAAAAGATTATAAAGTAAATATTGGGTTATAGTGTTGTGTACTTTCAACGATGTCGATAAATGATGTGGCCGACCTTTGGCCATTTTAGGATTATGACCAAGTTTTGGCCGCTTTAAGTTTATGAACTGGTTTTGGCCATTTTAAGAGTAACGAGAGAATGGTGTTTGATTCAAAAGAGCTTTCAATGGTATTAGTTTTATCATAACTCAACATTTTAAATACCGTAGTAAATAAATTAAATATTTGCTTTTCTAGAACGGCTTGAAATCCCAAATAAAGGACAGAGGCCAAATCAAATAATAATAATATTTTAAGTAACGTCGTTATAGTGATTAAAGAATATTTAACACTAAATAAGTGGCAAAGGGAGTATAAGCTATATCCATCAGCCTTACACATCATGATCGTAACAGCTCCAGGACTTCCCTTAATTGTGGTGTTTATTGGTGGAACCACAGCATATTCAGCCGGGACCAATGGTTTAAAGTGCCAAAGCACGGATGAACTCGAGATAATAAATAGTCACCCCCAATATCAGCTTGCACAAACGAAACGCGCTAATTAACGCACCATCAAGAATTGATGATTGCACTAGCTTTTATTGCTGGTTTCCATTGCCGAATTCAGATATTCTACCCTGTATCCGTTAAAATCCTCTTGAATTTTGCCTATAGATATGTCTTTAGACTGCGTCTGCCAGGATCCAGCGTTTGTTTATTAGCGACAATTCTTTAACCATGTCATAAGGCCCTCAACTGATTTTGAGACTTTCTAAAGACCCATGTGTCAAAAGAAATCCTAACTTTAACCTTAGCGTTCCGTGACTACCGCACCGCCTGTGACTCAACAGCAATCAGTTTTTCTAGCTATGTACGCCATCCGTTGCCACTTAACTTGAGCAATACTTGGAGCAATATCAGTTGTGTTAATTTTCTACTAAAAACTAAAATAGTAAACATTCTTTTACTGTTAGTCTCATAAGAAGGCTCAATGTTACCCAATGGTTTGATAATTCTCTACGCCATAAAAAAAAAACGAATAGGAATTGCGGATATCGGTAAGAGAACTAATATAACAGATAATTCTAAACGGATTGCTCAACTGCCTTGTGATTCTGTAAAAAACAGTGCACACAGCATGAACAGTATTAACTTACAACATGAACAGATCCTTAAATAACTTTTAGTATACAGTAAATTTAAATATTAAATCGTGTTAATATTATAATTATAGAAATTGTATTTTGATATTATTTTCTTTTATATTTTGAGATTTTTTTATTGAAAATATCGACAGTTCCATCATTACGATTCAATTCGTTATATGTACAACACATTCTTACGATCGGGTTATAAAAAGACGTATTACTTTTGTAGACTTGGATTGAAAACATGTTAGGATAACGCGACATATGCCTGGTTTTAATGTGGACTGAAGAAAGTAACCCAGGCGAAACAATAAGCGATTGCACTATTTTATGTAGACAGAGGTTATATCTATTGCGGCGAGCTTCCAACCGAATCATACCAAATTTTGTCATCCTCTCACTATAGCTATTAAGTGACCGGCCATAATTTTATTTACGTGAAACATATTTTAAACATCGTTTTTGCACACTCTCCAATGCATCCACGTGTACAGTATAATATGGTGACCGAATGGGACAACAATATTCCAGTAAGCTTCTGATTCAACTAGAATAAAGTAACAACACACTACTAGGACTCTTAGAATCTTTAGTTGTCATGATTATAAATCCCAGAAGCCTATTAGTCCTCTTGGTTATGTGTAAGTAGTGAGGACGAAAACTAAGTTCTTCGTCGAAAAGCACTCCCAGATCACCTACGACATCCTTTCTAGCTAATAACTGGTTCTGCAAGTGATAATTATTATTCACACTATTTTTCTTTCTGGTGAAAGAAATAATGTGACACTTTTTCACATTAAGATTCATCATATTGAGAGAGCTCCAGTTAGATATTGCATCAAGGTCACTTTGAAGTGCCATGCACTGCCCCATGTCTCTGACTTCGGTGAAAATTTTAAGATCGTCTGCATATAAAAGAGATTGACTGGATAAGCGATAGACCAAGTCGTTTATGAAAACAACAAAGAAAAGCGGACCCAAATGCGAACCTAGAGGAACTCCCGAGGAGACAGTGATAGGTGCAGAAGAATAACCCTTCATGGTAACCAGTTGAGTCCAATTATTTAAATATGAAATAATCTATCTAAGCAAGAACCCATAAATGCAGTAGTGTTCGAGTTTGAGACTAAGCAAGCGATGGTCAACATTATCAAATGCCTTACTAAAATCAATATAGATAGCATCGACCTGACCTCCGGAAGCAAACACTTGACAAAGATAGTTCTTGAACTCCAACAGGTCGCTTAATGTAGTTTTTTTCCTGATAAAGCCGTGTTGCTTATCAGACACAAACGTCAGGAAGTGGTGATAATGAGAGAGAAAATGTCCGATCATGTTTCCGAGTTCACGTCATTTAGTGTAGAAATTCTATTGATTCCATTTTTTTGTATAAAAATACAAAACAAATTTGATAGAATATACGTGTCTCAGATATTCTATTCCTATGTCATTTCGAAACTTACTTCACTTATGCCACGAAACGCTATTACCAGATTGAAGTTGAACAGATGCCGCTTCTTGAAGTGAATTTGGACACGTAAGTGAATTCTGATTCGGGTTTGGATTTTCAAAGAATCACAGGACTGAAGTGGCAGTGATCGGGACACACTAGAACAGGTGTCATGTTAATCGTAGAAGTTATACGTAGTATTAAGATTAAGTGATTCTTATCGATATAATCTACGTAATATTGAAAAGTTACGTCATCGAAAGGTAAAATTACAAAAAGTTCAAAAACAGGGTAATAGGGATGATGACTGGGTAAAAAAAATGCAATTAACAAGAAATAGCTTAGATAACAGGCATTAAATTTGAGGAGTGGGGGCTCGCTACGTCACAGTTGAGTAGAAAACGTACTCTAACGTGACGTCATACGAAATTTCAATTAAATGTAACGCCGTAATTTTAACAAAATTTAATTAGCCGTAAAAACAAACAAAAATTAGTCATCATCCCTATTATCTAAAAATAATTATGTATAACAAATTACCTTTAAGTATTACAAACAGAAACCACAGTAGCTTTAAAGTATTCTGAAATCTTTTATCGAGCATAATCCTTTCTATTCCTTAAATGAATTTTTGACGATGCGTATAAGCGATACTTTTATGAAATGATGAAATAAGATACTGTAAGATTTTTTTAGACATTCACATTTAATGAGGAAATAATAAAAAAAAAAAACACGAAAGCACCAAAACAGCACCTCCACTAGATGGCGACTCTAGCAAAAGTTGATTTTTGCAGAAAACGAATGGACCAAAGACAGTCATTTCCGTTCCTTTTAACTGACATATTAAAAAACTGAAATTTGAAAAGTTCGAAACTTAGATATCAATAGAAATCGAAAAAGTACAAATAGAATATGAGTTGTTTATTGAGTTTTGAAAACTAATTTACTATTAAACATGAAAGAAAACCGAAAGGGTTGTCATGGAGAAATCAAGAACGTACCATAGCGACATCTAGTTTGATTTCGGGAACAAATTTTTTTTAAGTACTTCCTAATTGAAGATGTGTATAAATAAGTAAATAAATACTATGAATTGTGAACTGACATACCTTGCATATTTATATTGTTATAAATGGCCAATAAATAAATTGAAATTGATTAATTATAACACCATCGCCTAACAGAGAATTTAGTACTGTTACATCTGGAACATGTTCCTGTAATTTACAGTAGTTATATTATAGGAACATTTGCCAGATGCCAACGAGTTCCAGGTGACATCAATGACATTATTAGACACTTCATACCCGTACATTATTGCATATTAAAACAGCGTAAATTTTATTGTGGTGGCGTAATACTATAATACAACC